CCGACCATGTGTTATCCTGATGACACGCGTGATCAATTCTACACTGAGCTATCCTCCGTGATACGGTCTGTGCCGAGGAGCGATAAACGATCTCTGCTGGGTGATTTCAACGCGCGCGTTGGGCGTGATGCATCAGCGTGGACAGATGTTATCGGTGCGCATGGCATTGGTTCAGCGAATGCGAACGGTGACAGGCTGCTCTCACTGTGTGCCACTCACGGCCTGACGATCACGAACACTCGGTTCGCAATGAGTGCGAGTGATATAGCAACTTGGACGCACCCACGGAGTGGTCACGCTCATCTGCTCGACTATGTCATCGTACGTCAGTGTGAAGTGCGCAAGACAAGTGTACTGCGTGGAGCTGAGTGTGGCACTGATCACAAGTTGGTGCGGACCAAACTGTACATATATTTCCGTAAAACTATGTATTGCACTCCCAGGGTGGATCGGCGTAAATTTAACATTGTCTAACTCGGTACTGTGGCGAAACGGACTGAGCTGGAGAAGGCGATGGCTGCATGCCTGTGTGGTGATGTGGACTGCATAGCCACAGTGGGCGACCTGTGGCACCACATTCGCGACCAGGTGACAGCTGCTGGCGAGGAGACCATCGGGCGCGCAAACTGTAAATGGCCTGATTGGTTTGAGGAGGACAATGCGACGATTAGCGTATTGGTGTGTGAGAAGATTGCAGGATTTGCCGCACATGCAGCAGACTCCAGTGACTTGGGGAAGAAGAGTCAGTTTCGCAAACTTCGACGGCGACTGACTCGAGAGCTCAGTCGCATTAAAAAGGCATGGTGGACAGAGAAGGCGAAGCAGATGGAATGCTACGCCGAACGTCGCCAACACAAGGAATTCTTTGACTCCCTGAAGGCGATGTATGGACCGAGGTTGGAGACATTGAGGACGCTGATCTACGGTAGCCCAGGCGCTACCTGCACACAGACTGCAGACATAATGCAGAACTTGCGGAAACACTTTGCCTGTCTCTCGAACAACCGTTCATAGATTGACTGGCCTATAATGAACGGCCTCAAGCAGCACGATATGAAGTTGAGCCTAGCGAATACGCGGACACTGGATGAGACACAGAGAGCACTTGCTCAGCTGCGAAACGGCAAGTGTGTCTGTGACGACGGGATCCCGCCTGAGGTAGTGAAACATGGCGGACCCGCGTTGGCAAATGTGCCGCACCACTTGGTGCAATGCGAGTGGACTGAAGAGGAGGTGCCTGCTGAGCTGAAGGATACCCTTGTGCTACCGCTGCACATGGGCAAAGGGAGCAGGCAATGTTGTACGAATTATCGTGGCAGAAACTTGCTCAGATGTGTGGGCAAAGTGATTGCCCGAATCCTGCTTAACCGAATCGTCAGTCAGGTTGTGAAACCAAACGCGGCGAAAGGATTGTATAGATTCCGATTGGTTCGCAGCACTACAGATATGGTGTTTGCGAGTCGTCGGTTGAAGGAGAAGTGCATAGAACGATACCAGTCGTTGCATTCACTTTTGTTGATTTCACCAAAGCATTTGATACGGTGAACCGCCAGGCCTGGTGGCTGGGGTTGGGTAAGTTTGGTTGATCGCGTAAGTTTGTAAGTTTAATTGAATGTCCGCGCAGTGGTATGCAGGCGAGGATGCAGCTGATTTGAGTGACCTCGGATGACTTTGCAGTTGTCACTGGTGCGAAGCAACGCTGTATCTTAACTCCTGCTCTATTAATTATTGATATTCCAGCGATGATGTTTTGTGATTGTAATGCCGCTTTTGCTTACGGTGTTCGTGTGGAGCACCGTATTGATGGTGCGTTGCTGAACATCCGTCGTTTCGGTGCGACAATTCTAGCCTATGAGACAGCTATCCGAATGTTGCTGTTTGCTGACGAATGTGCGTTGTTTGCACAGAGCGCGGATAAATTTCAGCACATGACTAGTGCTCTCGCTTCGACTCCGACCAAATTCGGCTCACCATCAACACAAGCAAAACTGTCTGTCTCTTTCAGCCTTCACCGGAGGTGCAATCTTCAATATTGCCGCAAAGCAGCATTGGTACTGAAGTATTAGCAACCTCCTATCGCTTCTGCTACCTTAACAGTGTGATGTCGACTGACCAGCAGCTACACAGTGAGCTGCGTATCCGCGCCTCGAATGCAGCGGCGGCATTCGGGAAGCTAGAGTACCGAGTGTGGAACAACCATCAGCTTACCATCGCCACAAAGTTGTTGGTCTACAAATGCATGATATTGTCCGTTCTTCTATACGGCAGTGAAACGTGGACGACATACCGTCAGGATGTGCGATATCTCGAGCGATTCCATCAACAGCGTTCGCGACGGATTCTGCGTATCGGATGGGGAGACAGAGTTGCGGACACGGAAGTGTCGCGTCGAAGTGGAATATATGCGGTGGACTGCATACTTTTGCTGAGACACCTGTGGTGAATCGGTCATGTGAGCCGTGCGGATTCGACGCGGATACCGAAACAACTATTATATCGTCAGCTGTATTGGGAGGCAGCATGTGGGGAAACCAAAGTTACGTTACCAGGACATGATCAAAGTGAGCCTTTCACGTTCTAACTCTGATTGCAGGTCATGGGAATCGAAGGCCGTTGATCGGCTTGGATGGCGCGATCTGATCACGAAGGCAGCTACCGAAGTGTGGGAGAAAGACCTCATGTATGCAGAGAAGAAGCGGCAAGTGCGGAAGCGGTAAGCACCGATGGGTTGTACTCCATCGACATCGAATGCATGGTGCTGTAGCACATGTAGTCGCGAGTGGCTGAGTCAGGCAGGCCTAGTGAGCCATGAGCGAGGCCACTTGGGACCACCACTGAAGCGACGACGGGTCCTGCAGAGAACGTAGAAAGAACCGGCACAGCGTTTGTAGGTACGCTGCATTCGATTTACTAAGCGCGTGCTTACATGCTAAGTCCATTTATTTCAAGCGGTGGGTTTTCAATTTTGTCTTAATGTTTATCTTTCTCATATTAATGTCTACCTGTACTATCTTGTATAAAGTTGCACACGTCGCTTAAGCCAATTGTAGTTAATTGCGATAACATTTTCGTGTTTGTGTCATTTCCGTAAACCTATGAACCCATGAACCTACCTCGGATTCGTTTGTAAACAACTTATTTCATACGCTCATTAATTTAGGATTTATGTCACCGTTTCCTTATGCATCACTCGATTTATTATATTTATTATCTTTCTCTGAAGTGATTGGCTGTTGTTTGACATCCCTGGTGCGGCTGCGCTTGATGTGCATGTTGACAACGTGCCAACCTGTTTATTACCCACTACCTCGTCCATACTGGCTCCAGGAGATAGTTGGTCGTTGCTGGAGAGGATCGGTTGCACGGTCCTTGTGGTCGTGCTAGGCTCGAACAGTGGTTCCATGCACTCAGTGTGGAGCGGACTACAGTCCAGCCACCTCCCTGTGTGCGCTTTATTCCCAAACATAGCACGCTTGTGTTTACCTGTGAAGGAGTGTGTGCCGGCTCCGGTGATGAAACGTGGTTCCCATCCACATGCCTCCCGGTCTTATTCCTTCGGGTTTACAATGGATATGGGGTGTGTGATTGGAGCTGTGGGTGGTGCAGCGCAAGCCACCCATGGTCCCTCTGTAGGCGCAGACGTCCTGTGGCTGGTCACAGTGACAGGCAAATCCAAAACCGGATGCCGCCAACCATGTGTGTGCCTGCGTCCCGCACTCTGTTTCTACGCATTTCCTGCATGTGTCCACCTCGCCCCTTGTGTCACTATTCTCAAATCCGAGTAAATGGAGCAACTTTGACCGTGCACCGTGAACCCCCTCCTCATATTTCAGTAGATAAACAGAAGTGCATCTCGTCCTACTTACGTAGCAGGTGTGTACTCATTGCGTAGACACCATAGGTTGTAATCAGCTCTCCGATTAGCTGTTTGAATGTATGTCAATCCATAGACTGACCGGCTCTAAGCCGATCCGTCCAATTTGTCATTTGTATCTTTGACTGCAACCGACGTAGACGGTTTCGTGATCGTTGTCTGTTTGAGCGCTAATTCGATGCCGTTTGTTGTTGACGTAAGACCGCAATCACTACACGACTCGACGCTGCGCTGGCATCACGTGATATGAACAGCGCCCATCCGCCGCGACAAATCGTATAAGAACATGGTACTCACCAGTTTTCCAGGAAATGGAAGTGCGCGGATTTACATGAGTGTCAATGTGAATATCACGAAGAGTTCGCGGGTGCCTAGTCTACATTGTTGGTAACGTTCCTCTTTGAAGCTATGCACTACATCCAGACCATCCTACGAGGTTTGTCGTTTTTTTTCCTTTTCAACGTGTTAAGTCATTAATCAAAAGTACACCATCGGTGGCTTTGTGACAAAAGTAAGCGTGGAGGTTTACCGAAAATGAGCAGCAATCGCGACCCGAATACGATCAGCATATCCTATTAAAGAAAATGCCTCTGTGAGCTTGTTCCCAAGCTAGGGATACCATCATCGCACCAGCGATTGCAGTCGAATTTCAATTATTTACATGCACATGGAAAAGCAGAAGAGACTAAAGGTGGCTTACAACTGATGAGGACGAAAAAACACTGGATCCAGATAGTAGCAGGATGAAAAATGCAGCGAGGAATTAAATAAAACAGGAGGTAAAAGAGGGAAATCACAAAGCCCGATAACCTTAAGGAAGAAACAGTCAGCTAAAGTTTTGCCACATTATATAATGGACACTTGATCGAATCTATTTGTAATGCGTGGACTCACAATTTTAGAGATGTGTCTAATGTAAGCCCAGGGGATTTCAAGCAAGCACCGAATTCATTTTCCAAGAATCCGAAAAACGCATCATTGATTAAGTGGTTAAATACTACGACCGTATTGCTGTAAAAGTGCATTTTTATCACAGCCACAAAGATGATTCCTCACGCTTGTGCGTACAACGAGGAGGGAAATAGGAAACATACAAATTTGGAGAATGGAGACAAACGTAACTTACCGCTGATCAGCTAACCCCACGAACAGCGCAGTAGATTCTGTTGGGCCGAGACTATTTGGTAAACAGGGGCACCGGCGATTAGACTCAGATACGACTGAGTCATCACAGGATAGGTCGCCTACGTCCGCAGCAGCGGTTCTTTTAGTAGGGGTGACGGACAATCGTGTTAAAGTGTGCGGCAACGGATCCAAAGCCGAGCATGGTTTGGCTCCGTTTAAACCGAGGGAGAATGGAAAGCTGGCAAACTCAAAGGTGACTGGCAAGTTGCCAGGGGATCCAACTTCGTTGCACCTGGGTGAAGAATCCAGTTGTGTAGGCGAGTTCGGACTTGGAAGACGGAATCTAACAACAGCACAGTGGCTGCGAAGGCGTTCCAGTGGAGACTGAGTGTCGCCGCTCACAGAGCCACCACCGACATTTCTACCACTAGCCATGGCACCTGACGCGGTTGGGATCAGTTCACCTCCACTCTTTGTCACCGAAGGGCCTAGATTTGCACCATCTTCGTGACATATCTACGGTGAAGACATTTAATAAAGGTGGTTAAACAGTAGAAAAACGAAGAAAACGATTAGGGAGAGAAAGGATCACAACTGTCACTGCAGCGAGCTCAGAATGACACAGTGTGACGGACCCCATGTACGAGGATAAAATAAAGGCAGTGCAGCAAAGTACTTTCTCCGGTGTAGTCAAATAACCGAGGATGAAGATGTTACTAGTGCAGCAAAGGAATATCGCACAACCACCGGACCGGAATTTCAGCAACTTATTTAACAGTAACTCTGCTCTGCCTCAGAATAAAAAACAGTAAATTGAAAGCATGACGAGTGATTTAAATTGAACCAGGTGCGACACTGACCGGACCTGCTAACATGCACAGGTGCCATGCAGATACTTCCGATCTCCTAGTTCGAAAGTACCAGATGCTACACAAGTGAGTGGGATATCGCCACTGTACCGCCATTTAAGTTGTTGCAACGAGAGCTGTCGGCTTCCAGATGATGAATCTGCGCTAACGGTGAATCATCACGCAGGCACTGGCCAGTTGCTTACATAGAAAACAAATGGTAAGAGCTTTCTTTACACTCGTGGCAATCCCTACAGATAATTTCAAGCATGCTGAAGAGTGATTGAGAAAGATGTTCGCCTCGTTCGGGCCAGTCAGAAATACGAGTTCTTGTGGAACACAGGGAAGTTCGAACCCGTTATTAAAAGGTGAACTATACCGACAGAGTGCGGATAATTGGTAAATAAACGTGCTCCATGGACTAGTGAACTAAGCGTCGGCAATGGAGTTTTGCTTTCAGTCCAAGCTACCTCCACTGTGCCAATCATACCGTAATTAGCCGGTGTGATAATACCCTAATTTATAATTTGCTAATATCATTTGAGCCGAGCAGCAAGCGAAAAGTGGGTTAATGTCACCAAGGTGCAAGGAGTACAGTAAAGAAATATGTAGCAATTCAAAGCAAAGAACAAAATGAGAGCACAAGTTACAGTGAAGGAATCAACTAGCGAGAAGAGCAAAAATGGACGAGAACTAACCTGGACAATGACTTTGTAATCTCCTTTGTCTAGTGGAAGAGCAAAACGTGGGCGTTTCGAACGTTCCTTCAAATCAAAAGACAACGGAAAAGGAAAACTGGAAATATGTACAGTTAAGCACATAACGGTAGTGTTTCGTAGAAAACGGTTCGTATATAACGGTCGTATTGGGACCAAATGATATAAAATGCGTCAAATCACACATCACATAAGCGGACGTGCTATAGTGGCTAAAGTTAGAGGCAGCCAGATGTCCAGACGAAAATAAATAGTTGTGAATGAGAGTAATTGTATTGGTCATAAAATAGAGTAAAAAACAGAGTTCAGTTCAGTCGTCGATTGTGGGGTAAAATAGGCTACCTGTACTAACCTCCATGAAAAGCAACAGTACTGATAACAATAATAACAAGTTAACAGCTCAAGAGTAGTTGGCGATAATGAAGGCAGGGTGTGCGTATGAGTCCGAAATGAGAAAACGAATAAACAACAACATAACTGATTTCCAACTATTGATGTGGCCTGTGCAGAAAGATGACGATGAAAAACCCGGAATTTCGGTATTTTGCAGGCAATATAAACGAGTATTCGACTGCAGATTCACCCGACCAATCACAGTGTTGGTAACCAGTACACATCGAGGCAGCCGGTGGTCAGCTAGGCACAGCAAATAGTTTAGAGGTGATACGCGATTTGAGTTTCGCAAACACAGCAGGTCAGTAAAGAGCTTGTTTCCAGATAGAGAACAGTGTTCCCACTATACCTACTGCTAATTGATTGCATCCACAGTGCAATTGAATCGCTCCCTAAGAATCTGATTAGCATCCGAGAGCAAATTGAACATGATCCTTAACGCAATTTAAAAAATAAATGAATGAGATATTCTCGGTAAAACGAGGCACACTGGCGAAGGCGCGACCAAAGATGCATATAAGCATAGCTGCGTTGAAATGGTGAAACATTTCATTTCAATGAAAGGTATAACCGAAATGTCCATAGTTCATACGGTTGAGCATCTTGTCAGGTAATAGTCCGACCCAGGAACATGATGGTGCTGGGGCGCGGAAATATCAGTCATAACTGTGGTGTCAATATTCAAGTTCGGCGTGATTTCGCCATGCAGTAATCCATGAGCACAGGAGTCAAGGTAAGATTTTGGTGCATGGGTTGTTCATTAAATGCTCAGAATGTTCGGTGTTCCATCAAACCATTCTCCATAGCAAAATCGGTTGCACAGGTTGTATGTAGAAATCTGATGACTGCTTCAGTGTGAAGTGTTCAGCTGTTACTCTATTCAGTGGCGAATCACGTCCGCCACGTCGTAGTGTTGTAAAACAGACATATGTGGCTTTTTATAGGGAGAACGCTTGCCAGGCGAAAACCCATCACGTTCTGGAACACTGTCATAGGTTATTTTAAACAGTAGTGCAAGCCGCCGATGCATCATACAGACCAATTTTGCACTCCATTTTTCAGTCGGTTGACGGTCGAATTTGTTCGTTGGTTGACCGATTGGCTTGGTAGTGATCCGGCAGTAGTCGTTGAAACCGGTCAAAGATGCAAAAGAGTCGCAGAGTCGAAAAATGAATGGTGCAGGTTAGTAGAAACATTGTTAACCGAGACAAGTATATACTTGTCAGTGTCTAGCTATCCACGCTGGACATATCATGGGGATAGTAATGCAGTTGTTCTTTGTGGCTGAATACTTCCATAACAGGCGAAAATTCCATTCCTTTATCCAATGCGGGAGCGATACGAATTTTTTAGTTCGCAAAATAGGAACAGAATTCCTTCAAATGTAAGTAATAATTGCGTGTAATTGTCTCCATGGTCAAGTGAAAACTCCATAAAAGGCCATCAGAAAAGCTGCAGGTAACTGGATAAAAGAAAGTTTTGTAAAAATGAAAGGGGCCGAACCCATCTGTTCCAGCGCCATTGAGGAGCAGTAAAGCTGTCTATGAAATGACATCGGAAAAGCTTCAGTATTTTCCGACGCACTATGCGTGCAGCGTGCTTGGAATTGAGACAGTCTAAAGCACGCAATGACAGTAGATGTACTAACAGCTGCATGGATAGTATGAGTTCATGTTTAAGGTGAGCGTTAGCACAATAGTGCAACACTTGGACAGGAGGCCGATAACGATGAAGAAACTACACGCAGTTCTGGAACCCACGAACACACAGGCGAAGAAAATCCTACGTCTTGACATTGCTGTAATCTGAGGTCGAGGAAAGACGATCGGTCTGGATTGAGGAAAAAATTGCAATTCCTTTTGTCTCGCATCAGAGGCCGTCCACCGCGAAGAATTCGTGTGCAGTGGTAATTGCCCAAAACTCGAGGACGGAAGCTTCATGTTATTGGAGCCCTGACGACCGAGGGCTTGGTAGAGTGTACCATAGTGGGATTAAAACTTTTCAACAAAGAAAGGTGTGCGCAGTGGTTGCGTAGAATGCTGGATGCAAAGGGTTCGACTTCTGTCGAAAGTTGCCTCGTGATCTGTGATAACACGGATTGTCTGTTTAAAGTGTGTTTGGTGCTGAGTTATCTGCGGGGTAATGGCTGATTATGACGCGGGCAGTGAAAGCCGAAAGGAAGCAGTCTCGCCAATGCCGCCTTACCTTCGCACGATAGCCAGCTGTTTGTGACGGTATGTTGTGCACACAAGGTGTAGGCGCCTTGGCCCTGAATGTTTGCTTAGGGCATTAAGGTTTTCAGGTAAGTCCCCCTTCTCTCCCTCTTCTTATTCTTTATTTCATAGGTCCTCATGGTTGTATAGCAGCAAAGCATCAGTTCAAATGGCTGATGTACTGCTGTTGATGATGATGATGATGTGATAACACGCAATGCCACCAAGAGCAGTCGTACCCTTTGAGCAACCTGCTGCACTTTGTTAAATACTCTCCATCACTGAACCCAATTTAGGGCATTCGGAGCATCAGAAAAGCATATGGGAAGCAAGCTATAAGGCATAGATATTCGGACATGCTTCAGGGAGATCCTGAGGGTGTACTCTGTAAAACTGAGTGGAGAATGCGTTTCCTGAGGCGAATTGTGTCAGAGGCACGAGTCCGTGTGACGTCTCAACACTGCCAGGACATGATTGATCATGTGTGGAAGAATTATGCTCACTCAATGCGTTGTACTGGTTTGCAAATTCCTTCTATTTTGTTGACATAAATATAGACCATTTGAACTGAGGTATTCACTGCTATCCAGCACGAAGCCATTGTTTCAACATTCAGGTATAAACGATGGTGTTCATGCTAAATGCTGTCGCAGAATTCTCGCATGTTTCCGCGTTAGGCGTTGCGAAACAACCAGACGGTATCCGGGTAGTTCCTGGCAACCAGGACTACAGTGCTACTAATGGTGTGAGCTCATGTGTTGTTACGTGCGTGGCTAATTGATGGTGGGGAAATGGTACGTAGTTGGTATTGCAAGGAGGACTACCGTGTGCAGAAAAGGAAGAGTTATTCAATAGATCGTTAGGTTAGGCACTATTGCGGCCAGCTCGCAATTGCATAATGCTGTAGGTTACATATCGCTGCGGGAGGACAGTTACTGTGAGATACGCTAGGACGCGTCGAATGGAAGCCACTGCTCTATCTCAAAATGCCAACTAGCTGTTTGTCGCTTACTGTTAGCCTTTCAGAGAGCAATGCAGTCGACCGCGTTCGTTTCAACATTTAGATTGTGCTAATGTAGGCGGTGCACCATGAGTAGTGCGCTAATTGCAAGTAGTGCAGCGTTCGGGAGAACACGAACTACTCAAGCAACCAAAGTAGACGTCATCGCGAACGCCTACACATTAAGCACCGAGAGACACCAGTTAGATTTCCATTGCTTCACATTTGCGTTGGGCTGGATGGTATGGCTACTTCGTTCGGCTTAGGGTGCACAGACCTTCCGGCATATCACTCTGCTACCACAGGTCCTCAGCACTCGCAGTCATGTATGTGACTGTCTTGCTGTCCGGACACAATGCAGTCGTATGCCGCCTTGAAGTTCGAGCGTTATAGGTATCCTAACCATTTTGGGAACAAACAGAATGCCAAACTAGCCATAAGATAACTAATGAGGTGTCGCGTTGCCATGTTCGAAGTTCCCCTTCTCGCCCATTGGTGACATGCGCAAAGCATGTCTTCATGTATGTAACAACAGAACAACCTAAGTCGAGTATCGTCGCACGTATCGTATATAAATATTGATATTTCGTGCTAGAAATCTAGAATATACGCATGATCTGGACAGAAAACGGTCGGGACAGAAAAATTTATATTATAATCCTATAATCGTGGTTCTAAAGAGCAGAATAATATACGCGATAGTACTCACGACAAGGTTTGCAACGGCAGCGGAAACAGATAACAGTGCTGTTAAAAGCAGACTGGTGGAAGCGTGACTTTGAGAAAATTGCACGCAACTGAAGTGAGCATGATCTAAAGTACGAAGAGCATGCTATAGGCTCGGAAGGTGGAAAGAGGTGAGAATAGGATTACTGAGTCATCAAGAGGGAATAATAGATCTGGCAAAGGAAATCAAAGTACTTTACAATTCACATGGTAGTCCACTTACGCAGATTCAATCCTTCACCCAGTCGCACCATGTGCTTGGACAACCTCGTGCCCCTAAGCTGCGTGGACGTAGCTTCAGAGTAGGCACTCGCCGGTGAATGGAGGTTTGAACACTCACATGTCTCCACCGCACCACCACTGTGCCCATGGTGTGTGGGAAAATACTGGATGCAACTCAAATGGATTAAGAACTAGGTTCAATTGACTTTATGGATGCAAATCAGATCATTAGGGAGCAATTCAATTGCACTATGGATGTAATCAATCGAGAAAAGGTTTGACTTGTGCCATATTTCGCAAGCATTGGTGATCAAATCGGTTGTTTTATCAATGACCCTGCAATCCGCAAGGGATATGCCCTGGATAAGAAGATTGAATAGCCAGGATCCATAACGAATTTACAAACGGCCCATTAAAGTGTATTATTACTGTTATGTTTTAATCAATAGTTTATTGAATCGACGGTGAGCCAAGCAAAAGTAAAGAAATCAATGGTAGATAAAAGGCATGATTATCATTCGAAATGATTTGGAATATTGGTAGCTCGGGAGACTTGCTCAATTGTTGTGGAATTCTCCGAGCTGGGCAACTTGGTTGCAGACGTTTCGCCACCATTCAAGGTGGCATCTTTAGTGCGGGATTGATAGCAGTTAAGTAGCAGTAGCTGATAGAAAGCAAACCTGCTACTTAACTGCTATCAATCCCGCACTGAAGATGCCATCTCGAATGGTGGCGAAACGTTTGCAACTAAGTAGCCCAGCTCGGACAATTCCACAACAAATGATTATCATTATCATGATACATTAGCTGAGGGTGATCAACATGCTATAAAAAATAAACATTCTTCATTGTTTTGCACAAGCCAGGTTTTGCCTTTCCAACAGCTCGGTATTAAGCGATTGAGTGTAAACATGTATATACACAGACCTTCCACAATTTTCGGTTGAGGACCATGAACTGAATTCGTTCGAGTCAACGGCCCCCCCCCTTTGTCCTTTGGTCCCCAACATGGCAGACATGTAGATTCAACGACAACAATACGTGAAGTGGACGATTTCATATGATATCGCCAAGCAGAAGCATGACCACTACAAGATCAACTCCAGCCCTGTCCTGAACGAGCGAAGAGAACGCGATGGGGTAAACGCACAGGCGCTATGCGTAGGACGTGGCCGAGCCATCTTAGCTGAGGCGGAAAAAGCAGCTTGTTGAAGGGGATGCTCACATTATTTAACACACGATGTCTAACTTCATTGTTGCAGATACGTTTTCACTACATCACACGAGCAATCCTCCCCAAGCGCCCAATATTGAAGGCCGAGAGCCGATGCATGTCATCTATACGAGCTGGGCATTATTCACTGTCACATAGCAACACTCCCGAACGGCGACATTGTAAACAAGGCCCTTTACCAAGAGGGAAACATCCCAACGACACTATAAGTGTTTCCGGTTGACAAACGCCGACCGATCTTTCGCAATGCAAAGGGAAACTTCCCTCTCAAAAGTGCCACCAGCATATATACATCTGTCCAGGCAGATAAAACTATCAAGGAGTTCAAAGTGTGTGCCTATAAGAGTGAGCACGTGAACGGGTGAATTTCAATCCTGGAGTAGCACTTTACCCTTCGATGGGGCGAAGCACATTTCGTACTCAGAAGCCTCAATTGTCAAACGGTTTAGTATGGTCCATATACTTAACCAGTCATCACCAAGTAAGACATGTCATCAGCAGTCTGATTCGGTCGCTCGCTCGCTTAACCGCTAGTAGCGGGACGAAATTTTGGTACGTTTCAAGAGCTCACAACAGGTCTATAATCGCGAAATTAAAGAGGAACGTGGATATAGGGCAGCTCTGTCGCACAGCACTGTTGACAACGAAGGGAGGGGAAAGCTTGTGGTAGAGCCTCACTCTGCCGGAGATATGAAGGAAAAGTGCGCGTAGGATGGCGGTATACTTCTCTGGTACCTCATTCTTTCGCAACGCAATAGCGCAGATCGATCAACAGAGTCAAATGCAGCACGGATGTCTAAGAACGCAACGATGGTACGCATCTGGTAGAAGTAACAATGCTCGAGGAGGTGGTGAAGCGTGAAGATTTGATTCACACATCCCCGGCCACGACGGAAGCCAGCTTGTTCTACCTAGTACCATGAGTCACCAATCGGGGATAGTCTAGGAATTAGGATGCATATCAATAGCTTGGAGGCAACCGAAATGAGACTGATCCCTCGGTGTTTAGCGCAAAAAGTGCGGGCAACCTCATTAAAAATCAGGACAATAACTGACTGTACCCAAAAAAGAAGAACAATGTGGTTAGCTGGGTAAAGATAATTGGGTTTCCATAGTAACAGCTCTGGAAGAAGTCCGTCTGAGCCGGCAGCCTTAAATCGTCTTAGTTGTCGAAACGCAAGACAAACTTCCGCTTCGCTGGATGAATCAAGTGTGACGACCCAGCGCGGACAGCTGGGTTCGCAGGGGATATAAGTGGACGGTGAGGGCCAATTGAACTGGGAATGAAAATGTCCAGCCCATCGATCCAAGCGTCTCCGGAGGTTGGCGGAGAGACATCGGATGCGATAATAGTTTCACTAATATCGGAATCCTTGTGTCTGGTGGAACGAAGGAGCTGGAAGATCTTGCAAGTATATCCAGAAGGGCATCGGCATCCATTTCTGAAACAAGCTGAGAACACCAGGCTTCGTGGTCAGTGCGTAGGCTTAGTTTGAGCTGCCGACTGACGGAACGGTGCAGTTCAAAATAAAGAGACTCCGCTAGGATATTTCTGTGAAAGTCAAATAGATGCAGAGAGCGCATGGACCGCCTTCCTAGGAAGATGACCAAAAAACTGACTGCCAGGAAGAGATAATGGCCTGCTGCATGAATGACGAGTGCCTATCAAAGACCTGTGATGCGTCGCATCTAACAACATCGGTCAGGGAAGGCTAATAGCCTTACTGCACCGAGAGAGTAGATAATTTTTGTATCTATCTTACGTGCTCCATTTTCGGGTATACCACCTGATGGATCTGCAATTCACACACACCGTATATATATACAACCATCCAAAGAGAAGAGTTAAGAAGTTATTGTGCACGGGAATTGAAACACAGCTGTGCATTGGCGTGACTCGAATCGCCTCTCACTATCTTTGCATTAATCTGAGAGTACTGGGTCAGGCGGTCTCATAACTATGCAGTCCGATAAAAAATTACAACGGTCGTTGCAATCAGCGACAGTTTCTTAGTGGCGTTTGTGCTCACAGTCTATGGACGAGTGTTAGGAGTACGTTGTGATTGGTTATCAACAGAGTTATCTATGGATTTCACGTTGCGAATGACATCCGAGTAATGAGATGGAATGTTGCTCACCCGCATGAATTTCTATGACGCAAACTTGGAATGAAGATAAGTCGAGTTACAGGTAAAAGTTGTGTGCGCGGGTTAGGGGAATAACAACGGTATGGACTCACCACATCGAAATCGCCGGCACCAAGGAATCGGCCGTAACAGTCGTACACATGGTACATCTGAGTGAGGTAGTCGCTTTCGTATAGTAGCTCGTGTAACCACGGTAACTCGAATTGGGTCACAGAATGTTTGAAGGGCTGAAGCAAGGGCGATAAAGAGGATAATAATGGCACCAATAGCAGAGGACACGCGTTTCCAAAACAATAGAAATCGAACCGATTTACAAGATAGGAGAAAAATTTGGGGTGCATAGATTACCCAAGTATCTAATCAGCACACATCGCATGCAAATCCGATACAGTGCAACATCGTGGAATGTAAGAACATGCGACACGCGGCGTAGATTGATGTATTTGTTCGCCTGTTTCCACCTCGAGTGAGAACAGTATCGCGATCCGAATACTGGGGCAAATTCTCAGGCTGAAAACATTCACGGAAGCATACACATAGCGGAACATTCAGATTCATGGGAAGGGTCAGTGAGTTAATACACGAGGAATGAAACATAGAGTGAGCCATTAAATTAGAAAATATGTGGCATCGATATTCGGACATGGACACAAGTAGATCGATGAGGCGCTCAAGATGGAGGACCAGGCGCCGGATAATTTGGACCTAGACAGTAGATTCCACAATTGACCCAACTACGTAGGTACCAAATTAATAATAATAACATTAATGCAAGCCGACACAAGTAGTTGTTCTGCGAGGATGAACTAGGCGGGCGATTCAGATAGTGGAGGAGATAAAAACAACGTAACTACAACAGACGCTCCAACCTAATATGCACCATTGGCCGCGGGAACTTCAAGTTCTACGATGCTATCAGGAACCGTGTCGACGCACTAATTTAAAGCGGTCTGTTTAGTTTCGTAGATCCCTTTCGGGACCAGTTCACTCGGTCCGTTGATCCTGCGCCTCTCTGTGCTCATGTGGTGCAGGATGGGTCACTGTCCGTTACTTTGGAGGATTCACCGAGGCCTGAGGCTCGGAACATGATCACATTCCTTAGTCATTCCCGTGCGATTGATTCGGATTCTCTTGCATTTGCACAGTTTAAGTACGGTGGTGGTGCCTTCTGCAGAGCATTGGCATAGCCAGTTGAGAGACAATACTTAAAAGTTGGCTACGCATCAAAGTCCGAGGGAACGTCGTCGAATATTTTCCACCCTTCGAGTGTAAGTTCACAAGTGCGCACTCAAACTCTCTAATATACTTTTCGATGATTTCACAATTTCCATCTTGATCACTTCACGGAGCCTTCTGTCCGTTATGTGCCACTGTTCAACATGATTTCATCCAAGTTTTGTGCAATGATAGTCGCAGTCGAAGGCAGCCAGAGAAACGCCCAACGTCTGTCGATGCAGGTCGCAGTCAAAAAAGTTTACCTGGGAAGAGTTCCACACATACGGTCATGCAAACTGGCCTGGAGTCAATCCGACGTACAACCCAGACTTCCACAAATTCAACTCCATTTGACAACACAATACTACGTCATCATAATTTTTTTCAGAAACACGACACCAAGTGAAGACAATGATCCAGACTTTGCGCTCTGCTAGCTCTGAAGACCCAGATGAATTTCTAACGGTTGAATTACTATGGAAAACTCAACTACAGAGGAAGCCGCGAAACGAAGAGAAGCTATCTGCTGCTGATCAAGAACAAGCCAGGTCAAGCACAGCTCGAGGTCACCATCCTCCCAAGAAATGCCTCAAATGATAAGAGCCAATCAAATGTGATAGTTTTTCACACGTCTGAGTCCACTGATGCAAGCCCTCAGGCACGCAATGATCACGACATTGAGATTTTACAGAGCTTGGTTGATACGCTCCTCGAGGGCGGAGTGTAAGTGAGGCAAGTCATCCGTTTCGGCAAAAACGCTGCTGTGGGCAACTTTTGCCTGCGGGTCCATTCCGAAGCTAATCATGTCTCCGCTAATCAGGCTGAAGGGTGAAAGGATGCATACTCATCCGGATTTGGATACACTTAGCCGAGAGCGTCTCAAGTGTGTTATCACTGGGATAAAGCGGTGAACCGATGAAGGAGAAACAACTCTAGGTATTGCAACTTTTCTCATGGTTACAACGCGAACGTGAATCCGGATAAATCCATCGCACACTTCAGGAATGCCCGGCAGTTCCTACCGCAGTCTATATGTAGCCTTTAACAATGTGTGCAGCCTCATGAACAAGCGCGATAAGCTATGCCAATTCGTTGCTTTCGAGCGACCAGATGTAGTGAGGCTCGGAGAGACGTGGTTGAACGACGTGGTACCTGTACCAAGGTCACTAAGCCTAAACTAAGTACGTCGTACGAAAACTAAACTAAAACTACGAACAGATAAACCTACACTTAACGCACGGTCTGGGCAGAAGAAGAAAACGTATTATCCTGTAACCGTGGTTATATAAGGCATAATAAATACAGTATATGACTTATGAATAGGTTTCGCAATCGTAATGCAAGTGGGCAGAAACTGTCCAGCGTGGGGCGGATCGAGTATTCGGGCAGTGTCACAGTAACATAATAATAAGAATGGCCTTGAAACCTCAAGGATGTGTCAGTGATGGAGTGTAAGAAATAAATGTGCGATATGTTAACCGCTTGTAAAACACAGAAAAGCAGTGTAAATGTGCAAGATAATCAGGGAAAAGTGATACCGTGTCCTCAGGTAAGCAATCCAGTTTGGGGATACATCAAAGTTCCTTTTGGACTTTACACTCCCCCGGCGGTTTCCTATCCCGGACGATGGCTTCCACGGCATCATTCTCTTCTTCCTGGTACGCTTCTAGTAGGCACAGCTGTCTGACGTCTCTTCGCAATATGCCTTTGCTAGTCCTCACCAGTGCTTGGTCTTTGCTCTTGATAACTTGCTCCACAACACCCTTAGGCCACAGACCTCTTGATGTGCGTAAATCACAAACTAAAACTAAATCGCCCTGTCTAAGATCTCGAATTTCATTTAACCACTTCTGTCTATTCTGCAGTGTCGGTAGGTATACTCTAATCCACCTACGCCAAAATATATCAGACAGATGTCTTACCTGTCTCCACCTTCTGCTCATTTTGATTGGTAAATTGATCGGTGGGTATTCAAGCGACTGGTCATTTGAAAGCGTGTAGTTGCCGAGGTGATATAGCATCTTGCGAGTCCGGGGAGTCAGGTACCGCTACCAAAGGCCTGTCATTCAATATCCTTTCGATCTCGGTGAGTGTCGTTACAAGTACCTCTTCGGTCACAACCTCGCCGTTGAGAATGTTCCGTAATAATTCACGAGTCGATCGAATTAATCGTTCCCAAAGACCTCCGCGATGGCTAGCACATGGAGGATTGAATTTCCAGTCAACCTCTCTAGCCAACATAGACTTTGTGATCTTCGTCTGATCTAGCTGCTTCAGAAGATTGCGTAATTCTGCTTCAGCTCCGTGGAAATTCTGTCCATTATCGCTGTATATTACATTCGGCCATCCGCATCTAGCTGAAAACCTCGAAAACGCGCACAAGAACGAATCGGTATCCATGGAGTGGGAAACCTCTATGTGAACAGCCCGTGTAGTCAAGCAACTGAACAAACAGCCATATCTCTTTTCATGTACGCGGCCACGTTTCACTATCAGCGGTCCAAAATAGTCGATCCCCACGGCAGTGAACACTGGTTGGTAGGTCAGACATTGGTCCGTTATCACTGGTGCCAGCAGCTGACTCAGTGGCTTCGCATGGTTAACGCGGCATTTGGCACATTTGAAAAGCAAGTGCCTTATGGATGAAAGCCCACCCAAGATCCAGTAGCGTCGTTGAAGATCGTATAACGTGTGCTTCGCACCAGAGTGTCCATTGATGTAGTGGTAATGAAGTATAAGAAGGCGAGTGACAAAGTGGCGGCCGGGAAGTAAAATCGGATGTCTCGCGTCAGATGGTACCGAGAGTTGATCCAACCTTCCGCCCACCCGAAGTATCCCATTAATGAGGAAGGGCTTGAGTCGTCTTAATCTGCATGACCTGGATTTTAAATTTCTAACTGGTATGTCGGGTTCGTTGTATGCAAGGAGGCGCATCTCCTCCACAAAAGCTTCAGACTGCACCAACTTAACTATCTGAAGCGTAGCTTGTCGAATTTCAGCACTTTCTATTTTAGCTGGTTGGTCAGGTGCAGCACGCCTCAAGTATTTGGCGACAAAATAAGATTTGAATCGCAACAAGGTAACGAAATATTTGCGCAGGGAAGTCCATGTCGGGCAAGCCTTAAACTTATTAATCCAGTGCTCCTCCAAGGTGACTAAGAAAACATGACCAACCTCAGGTCGTACCCATTCAAGAGGTAATTCACCCAGATTCTGCGGATATATAGGCCATGAGGAAGGGGGCTGAACGAGAAACTGTGGCCCATGTAACCATTGGTGTATTTCCTTCTTGAGCGACGTCGAGAGTCCACGTGAGGCTATATCAGCCGGGTTCTGCTTCGAATTTACGTAACGCCACTGACTGGGGTGAGAGTATTGTTGTATAGTGGTAATCCGGTTAGCAACATACGTCGGAAAACGCCCATTAACACTTCGAAGAAGCTTAAGAACTACCATCGAGTCTGTCCAAAACGTTGTGCTACAATGGAGTGCCATCTCCTCTATGACTTTCGCTGACATGCGCCCGCTCAATACGGCAGCAGTGAGCTCCAACCTCGGTATCGACACCGTTCTAATGGGACTGACACGTGATTTACTAATAATCAGGGAACTTCTAACCTTGCCTTCATGAGCCTCGCAACGCAAGTATAGAGCAGCACCGTAACCAGCCTCAGACGCATCCGAAAAACAATGCAACTGCACAGAAGATACACTGCATCCGAATGGATTAATACAACGTTCAACGGACAAGTTGTTCAGACCATTGGCGTTTGATAACCATTTGCTCCAAGCTTGTTGATCCTCTGCGGGAAGAGGCTCATTTCAATCCAGCTTCCTTTTTACGAAGCTTTGCCGGAAGTAGCACGGGAGCAATGAGGCCGAGAGGATCATAAACGGAAGCTATAAACGAGAGGATGGTTCTTTGGGTCAACGTTTTATTAAAACCTTCCAGCAGAAAAGTTAGGTGGTCCTGGGTAACGTTCCAGTTTAAACCAAGCGCAGTTGTAACACA